TTGAATCGAAATAATGAAACCTTAATAGCTAATCGGTAGCTTAAGGTGACTACACTCAAAGAAAATGGTTGACTTTGAAGAAACCGTCTTTGACATAGTCTTAGTTTCAATTAATTCGAAGATTGCAAGAAACAACTAAATGGTGATTCAATGTTTGGACATAATATGGGTTTCCGAAACCATTATCAAGATAGTCTTGATAATATATGTCTAAAACTAAGAATCACAAGACATATAAGTTGTAGAGATCCATCCATCATGAATCTCAGCAAGTTAGTGGGAGCTATAAGCATCTTATGAGAAAAAGGATCAAATCGTTTGATTTCTCATAAAGATGTAAATGAATCTTTTGTTTACTAGGTTTACAAAAGATTAGTGGGAGTTAATCATATTCCTAAATTTGAATATATATACATGATATATATTAATTTCGAAAAGAATTCTTCATCGTTAAAGTTATGACTTTAAACATTCTATAATGATAGAATGTATATGGGAGACATAGTCTATATACATGGGATGGAAATCTATAATGATAGATTTCAAGATATAATTGGATTATATCAATCCCTAAAATAGACAAGAGATGCTAGGAAGTTTCTCATATGATGATAAACTTCAATTAGAATGACAATTCTAGTGAGACTAGGCAGTTGTTCTTCTCAAAGGGAATGTACCCTTTGACTCCCAAAGAAATAATGCGTAAATAGAATCCTTTATGCATACGCAGAAAGGTGATTTATGTATTTCATATTGTATGAAAACATTGATATAAGTTGTACCTAGAACGGTACAAGATGATATCAGTGCAAGCCCAGGATCAGAACCATGGCAACTGTCAAGTGAATCCTTAGGTATTTAAGAAATACTAAGGATGGATTCCTCAAGAATTAGAGTAACGTAATGGAAGCGTAAATGTATTAGATTATGAATCTAATCCATCATAGAATATCTCTTCATTATGAATGAAGTGATAATAAGATATCTCTTTATTATGACTAAAGAGATATTTGGGTGGAAACGTTAAAAGTAATGACTTTAATGTGTTCCATCATGTATGCAAAATATATTGCCATATAGAAGCTTACAACATTGTTGTTTGGATGGGAAAGTTCATTTATGAACTCTCCATTCGGTTCCAACCAGAAAGTGTATGACACTAATGGGGCGATAGCTCAAGCCAGGGAATCAAGGTCTCATCAAGGTCCGAACTCAAATGAGAGACTGAACCACATGATTGAGAATCATGTATAATGGTGACGTCGTTATTCTCAAGGTTGCTTCTATGGATAACATATAGATATCCATTGTCTAGGCCTACTACTCAGCCATTTATGAAATGACTACAGAAGAGGTATCATCACTGATGACTAAGCTGATTGGCTCTAGTGCAAGTGGGAGATTGTTGGAAATGTGCCCTAAAACCAATCATATGATGATACTTTATGGACATTTCACATGTTAAACTAATCTAGTTTAATATTAAGGGCAAACATTATTGTTTGAGCCGTCTCATATAAATGTTATATGCTTAAACGATAAGTCCAAGGAATATGTGATTGGGAGAATGCGATCTAAAGAAGTTAGATTCATGAGACCATTCTTTCGTAGACACATCCTAAACGTTCCTGATCATAGGATTGCCAATTGGGCATTGACAGTCCGTTAAGATCAGTACGTGTTGTGTCTTCTCTTAGGGAGAGTGACTAGTCTCGAGTCATTGGTGTGAGTGACACCAAGACAAGCATGTAGGTGCTCAATAGAGAATGAGTTCACTGAACACGATCAACGAGGAGTTCTCATATTCATGTCACATGAGAACTCATGGTTGGGATAATGCAAAGTAGTCCTTTGACCTGAGGCATCACAGCTGTCTTGTGGTTAGGTACTTGATCTTTGATTATGTCCAAGTCACTCTATCAGGGTGTCCACGGCATCGTCGGGGTTAAGCCACTTAGCCATGGAGGCAAGTGAATGCGCAACAAGGGATCTCTAACCTTCAAACTGTTTGAGGGAGAATACCCTATGATATGATTTAGAATCTCTGGCCAGAGTATGAATGAGATGTTGGAATGCGTTCCAGATCACATTCAAGGTAATCATATAAGTACAAGATTCACATTGGATAGTAGACATGAATAAACTATCAAACCAAACAATGTGGTCAAGAGTATTGTATTAGAGAAAGACCGTATTGCATTTGTAATCCTAAAACTGCTCTTCTGATTAGCTTGGGTAACCATGACATGCTGCTAGGCGTCAACCATGGTTTGTGGAAGCCCTAAACGTGTATAATCACTAACGGGAGAATTGAAAGTAAGTTTCAATTCACAATCGATTAGAAAGAGTTTTTAATCGCCCACTGCCTCGCTAAAAGGAACCTAATGGATCGTTCACCGAGTAAGGTAGAGTTTGAAGAAACAACGGAGATGAGTAAGAATAATTAAATGGTTTAATTATTTATCTAAGGCTAGGATTAATTAATATGTTAATTAATCAAACGAATAAGTTCGTTAAAGACCTCGGGTTAGTTTTGGGCCGCAAGGCCCAATGGGATTTGAATGTCAAGCCCATTAACTCAAGTTGTATGACAACTTGAATAAACAAAGGGCTTGAAAGCCCAATGAAACCTATAGGCCGGCCATGTTAGAAGAATAGGGCTTTTGGTCCATTAGGTCACTTATTTGAAGGGACTATATAAAGGACTTTATAGCCTAAAATTGACATATGGTAATTTTTGGGGAAAGGATGAGAACACAAGCTCTCATTTCTCTCTAAAATTTCGGCCACCTTGGAGGGATCATCTAGCAATCAAACTCCTCCAAGGTCACTCATTTCTTCTTCATTATGCCTTGGTGATGAATCATTAGAGGTTCTCAATTTTGGGAACTTGGAGAAACCTTTTCATCCATCCAAATCCATGGATCTAAGATGCAAGGAATGAAGGCCCTCTCTTTGGGTGATTAGCCTTTGCTTATGAAAAGAGGAATCTACAAAGGTATTGATTTCTCAACTCACTTTGTTTTGAGTTGAGTCTTGGTTCACCTATCTACTAGGCTTTGAAGTTCATGGGTTAAGTTTTGTTTTTGAGTGCATATAAACATGATTCCGCCTTTTAATTGTTAATTGCATGTTGTTGATGTTGCTCAAATGAACTTGTTTTTCACAAATCTTCCTTCAACTTCAAGGCTGGTCATTTCAAAATTAGCTCCAATGACTCGTTTAGAGACCTTCTTGAGGCATATAAGCACGCCATTCAGTCGGGGGTGGGTGTGAAGCGTGTCAAGGAAGGTAGTAGTTCTGAGCCATATAATGGGGCTCGGAGAGCCATTAAGTTTCACCCCTATTACTTCGTGTTGGGATTTACATTTCATATGCCGCGTTTCTTCCAAGAAGTGCTTTGCTCCATGGAGTGTGCCCCACTCAACGTTCTCTCAATGCGGTTCGAGTGATGGTGGGATTCCTTAATCTAAGTCAATTCTTCAACTTGGATTTGACCGTCAATGAATTTTGGTACTTCTTTGACATATACCACATTGAAGGAGTCGGGTAGCTGCGATCTCGCCATTGGCTTGTTGAACATTCAAGCAAGGGAGATCATAACCGGGCCAAGGAGACTTTGGAGATAAGTGGAGAGTGGGAGTCTGATTCTTCCCCTAAGCTATGTGTTCCCACAATTTTCATTTCTGGTAAGTTTGTACTTTTGCTGAGTAGCTTTTTGATTTTCTGATTGTCCTTCTTTGCTCTTGTAGATTCGAAATTCGGCTCAACTCTTAAGACTTCTTTAGATATGAAGAAGGTGCATGTTGCACTAGGTATCCCTTCTAAGTATCGTGAGTAGCGTTGGCTGCTTAGTCTTCTTCGTCGGGAAAAAGATGGTCTGCCCTCGAGAGAGGAGATAAAGCGAATCAAGACAGAGGCATTGGCTCGTTTGATTGCCGTCGTGGAGCTTACTGCGAATGAAGGTGGAAAAAATAGATATTCCCTACATGTTCAAGAGATGCCGGCTGAGAAAAAGCTGAAGACTTCCTCCACTACTTGTGAGGGTCTGCCTGCTGCTGATAAGCTTGTAATTGACTTGACTTCGTCTAAAGGGAAGAAAGATGACGTTGCTAGATTTGAGCCAGTGATGCCTATCGTACCAAAGGTGGCTAGTACGATTACTGATAGGATTGCTCAACGTAGAGGTTCCGTCAGCCTTTAGTGCCGAAATTTATGCGAAAATGCCTGTCGGAAGCTAAGTTTGGTTCACCTTCAGAGACGTTTGCCACTATAAAGGGTAATAAGGTGGACTCTGCTGCTAGAATGGCACCAAAACCCATTTCCCTCACTGCTGAGACTGAGAAGACTGCTCGCGTGGGCAGTTATGAGAAACCCAGCAAGCTTGTTTTTGGGGAAGCTGCTGAGATTTGTGTGCTCTTGAAACCAAATCTTCTTGAAGACATGGACGCATGTGCCAAGTTTGTTGATGGTGTTAAATGGGTTGTCTGCCCAAGTTCTTTTGCGAAGCATACGATCGAATATAGGAAAACTGCTATGCTTGCTATGATGCAGAAAATGGTGATTCTGGCTGCTGAGTCTATTCTTCTTGACCAAGAAGATACCAAGGCTGCTAAGGAGGTGGCAAAGACTATGGCAGCCAAAGCTTATTCCTCAACCGAGAAAATCAAGAGGTTGAAGTCTGAGTTCCACTAGTAGAAAAAAATTCATCTACCATGATGAATGCCCGCGATAGTTTGCAATCCACCAAGGGCACTGCGTCCGTTAGTAATCTGGATGTGATAAAAAGTCTCATTTTCTACCACGAGCTATGCCCGTTGTCAAATGTGATATAACCACGGATTGTGACCATGGTAAATTAGGATCTAAAACCACGTGCACTATGGCCGTTGTGGATTACAAATTGACCACGTCTAAAGCCCGTTATACAAAATTTCCAAAAATAAAAAAAATATAAAATCATTTACTATATATATATTATTTATACACAAAATTGCACATTTACTACGATTTAATAATTTTATTAAAAATCATGATTCAAATATTACAAACTATACGCTAAAGCTAACAACAAAATCAATACGTTATACTAAGAAAAACCAAACTACCCACAAAGTATCAAATACGCCTCTAATAACAAGAACATTATCTCTTGAAGACTTCACATTTCTTTGGACTTCTCCAAACAAAGGACCTTCAGAGTGAACTATTGCCCCTAATGCTTGAGCCTCAACAATTGTTGCCTCTCGCTATCTGCATGGACATAAGCATATAGATCTACATGTGGGAATATATATTTTCTCTCAATCAAGAAAAGTGAATAGATATACAAAACTTGAAGCCAAAAGTTAACCAGTAAAGACTTGAACAAATGTACGAGTCTCCAACAATCCATACAAGCCAAAAATTAACCAATAAAGACCCAAACAAATATACAGAACAACTTTGACAAGAGCATGAGTGTCAAATTAACATTGCATATACAATGAATGGAGTAAATACAGAACTTAGGGTTCGAATAGTGTATGCAAACAGATGAGTAGAGGTTCGTAGAGAAATAGAGCGGTAGTACCTGAGAGAGCTCTCAGAAAGCAGTGAAGTGAAAGAGTTGGCGTCGTTGTGTTAATTGTATAATCTTCATGGCACTTGTGCCATTTTTACCTACATTTCACACAATGATGTCAAGTCACAAGAATATAAAAATTGTTCTTTAAAAAAAAATGAAACTACATAATAAATCTAAATCCAATTCTATCAGGCCACACTCAAAAGGAACAATAACATATCAAATTCAAGCTAAGCACCTCAGAATTTCCCTAATTCATACCTCCTTCAGCAAGAATAAATCCGACATTTCCCTTCTCTGCATAACCCAGCCAATTGCAAAAGCATCTATACTGGCAGCATAAGCCAAATTTCAACCCGTTTTTCCTTCTTTTCTACTTCTATTAGTCACATAATAGCGGTTCCTTTACAAAATGGCAAAAAAATTAGGGAAACAAAAATATAGCATCGTTGAGTCTTCAAGGACATCAAAATTGAAAATGAAAGCAGGACTACCTGAGGGAGATCTTTCCCATAACAGGGCCGCACATTGCATCTAGTTCCCGATGGTCGGCGTGAACTTTGGCATTGCGAAGACGGAAGCATGATGCGACGACTGCTAGGGTTTGCTTAGACCTCATTGGTTAAGATTCATCTCGAAAAAACTTCAGGCCTTACATCTAAACCAAACACGAGACTATATCAAACAAAATCAGACCGCAAAGTATAATCAAAATCCTTAAAATCAGTTTACCCAACCCTAAATCTAATTTTAAGAAATGCTATAGCACCAATTGAGAGAGGAATTGCGATAATACCTAAAGATCGAAGAGAGATGAAAGTAAGAGCGTTTCCTCTGTTGGGGGCTCTGAAAGAGAATTACAGGAAAAACTCATGGATTTATGCATCAGAAACCTGAATTAAAATTGACAATTAAAAAGGGAATAAAAAAAAACCTTTTTGAGGGCTTTGATTTTGACGACGGTTTCGATTTCCACTAGAAGGACGCTGTTGGTCTGTTTATTTGCAGCGAGGGAAGTAGCTTCTCGCGTCTGTTTTTTAATGGTGTGAAATTTGAAAGATTTCAAATTTTGGGAAATTTTCAAAAAATTTCTACTCCCGCCTTCTAATTTTTATTTATTTTTTAAAGTAAAGTGCATAATTGCATCACAATTAATGTCCGTGGTAAATAAAAAAATTTGGTGTGATTACTAACAATATTGACCACGGTTAATACATGTGGTGGTTTAATATTTCACAACATACTGATTAAGATCGTGGTAGTAAATTATTTTATTATAACGGGTCATTACTTACCTGTTGTAAAACATTGTTATCCACAACATGTTGATTAAGTTCGTGGTAAATGGTCACTTTTTATAACAGGCACATAATGTTTGTGGTAAAATTGATGTGGTAAATGAGCTATTTTCTTGTAATGTTTGTTTCTTTGAAGGGGTCTAATATCTCTACGCCCATTTCTCTGCAGCTTAAGACTGCTCGCCAAGAGATCATTGATTTGAAGACTAGGCTTAATGCGATCCAAGTTAAGTTTGAAAGTGCAGATAAGGAAATTGGATGTTATATACTTCAAATTCAAGATCTTGAGCGTGCCGTCTCTGAGCTTCATTCTGCTGCTTATGCAAAAGGATAAGGAGCTAATTACTGCTTATAATCAAGTGACCCACTTTAAGAAGGTCATTGACAGGCTTGAACCCCAAGTGTTGGAACTCCAAGGTGCACTGAAGATCAATGAAAGTCTAAAAAATGAAGTGGATGAGTTGCAGCGCGTCCATGTTGGTCTCCTTAAGGAGAACAAGCTGCTGGATGGGTGAAAAGGTTGGACTTGAGATTTCACTTGTCCAGAGTCAGGCTGATTTCTACAAGCTGGGTTATGTAGATAATCTCTTTTGTAGGCCGTCTGACTTCGAGTTTGTTGGAAAAGACTTTGAAAACTTCTCTATTTCTTTGCAAGACTTGCTTGCCTTTACTTTCGAGGCTTCCATTGGTGAAGTAGTCAGATAAGTTGGTGCCTAGGCTAGGGGAGCTAGAGGTGAAGTGCCGGATAATGTCGCTGCTAAGAGTGTCGCAGTTGCTGAAGCTGTGGCAATTGAGTAGTCATGGGATGTCTAAGCTGCTAAAGAGAAGTCTTCTAGGTAGCCTTTAGGATATTCTTTGTTTTTCGTGTTGCTTTTTGCTTTGCTTCAAATCCTTCGGCCTTTGCTAGTTGTTTATCGATTTTTCTAGCAAATTTAATAAACTTGCTTCCTTCGCTTTTCTTCATCTTTGCTTCTTTTGTTCACACCCAACCTTTGACTTCTAGACTAGCGGCAGGCATGCTACTTTTTTTTATAGGTAGACAGGCCCGCATAGCCTATGCAGCCGTGGGTGTTAGTGTAGAACTTTGCAAAGTTGTTAGCCATAGGGTCGGCAGCCGGACCCCGTACTTACAAAAGTAGACGAATCTGCATGACCACGTGGCTGTTAACCTTGGCTCTCTTCAATCCTTTGAGCTATGTGGCCTGCATCACAAAGTACTAAAGATTTTTGGGTTATGAAAATCGCTAACCTTTCGTATCAAAAGTACGTGATTGTATGGAATTTTGTTAGCAAAGGTCTGAGAGAACTCTTTGCTTTTATGTAAGCAATTCCATGGGTTGCGTAGCAAGTATCATAACACTTTACGAATTAGTGTAGATCTTAAATGATCATTCCACGCTTTGGCAAATGTGAAGCTTATCGACTGCGTAACATGTCGACAGTGGATAAAGCTTTGTATATGCATGCTAACTTGTTTAACCTTTCACAAAAACGTGCGATTGTATAAGTTTAGCACGGCTCACTGCTCGAAGGGTAAGCCGTAGGCAGTCTTTTGGAAACCGTAGATTACCTTAGTGCACTCGATAGTAGCTTTAGGGTTCTAGGGCAGCCTTCCATAGGGTGTACTATGTAATGTGCCTTCTTCATCTCTGTGGCTCAGTTCCCTACGGATTAGGCCAAGAAACCCAAAATCCTTCAGTTAGCTAAGCCTTGAAAAAAACCATTGTGGCTACTTCTAAGAATCCAGGTGCAAGCCATTGTGCATTTAGTTATACCAGGACAGCCCAACTCATCCACGTCTGGATAATCGGAGTGTAAAGTTTATCTTCTCGCATTGGAAAGCAAACCCATGTGGGTGTTGAGGAATTGGTATACCCTCTTGCAATGGAGAACATGGTCGGTCCCCAGATGGGTGCTATTCTAGCAATAAGTCCTTAAGAAGAGCGCAGTCATCTTGTGAAGTGCAGGAGTGATTAGTTGTTGTAAGCATATAGCCAAGCCAATTTGTAAATTATTTATGAATTCCTCATTGAAAAAATGAGTGAAACGAACGAAAACTTAGTTGAAAGGTAGAAACTGGATAATAATTGGGTAGTTATCAGCTTACAAGGTGGTGCTATTCGAGCTGCTTGAATCTTTAGGCTTTGATGTAGTGGGAAGTCACACATGGTACTTCCTCAGATTGTAGGCGTTCCACCGCATTTCAATCTCTTTGTCATTCATGGTGGCGAGGGTGCAGCTACCCTTGCCGCTTACTCTGTTGATCTTGTACAAAACTTCCCATATGAGATCTATTTTTTTTGGAGCCTTCTCTTCGGGCAGTGATGAAGGCTTTTCTTAGGACTAGATCTTCAGGCGGAAACTGTCGAATCTTGGCCCTTTTGTTGTAGCTGGAGAGGAGCTGCTACTGGTAAGCTGCAATACAGGTGATGACTTTCTTGCATTTCTCCACTATCAGATCTAAGCTTGTGGCCATCTCCTTTCCATTCTACTTGATGTTGGGTAGTAGAATGCTGATACTTGGCATGAGGACATTGGGATGAATGATTACTTCTGAACCAAATGCCAAAGAGAAACGAGTTTCACCGATTGCTTGTCATTTGGTTGTGCGATACAACCATAGACATCCAGGAAGTTCGTCTGGCCATTTTCCCTTCTTGTCGGAGAGGGACTTCTTAATGCAGTCGATAATCATCTTGTTGGATGCTTCAGCCTGCCCATTGCCTTGGGGATACCTCGGCGTGGACATGTGTTGCCTGATGCCATATTTCTGGAAAAACTTCGCTAAATCTTTGCCTATGAATTACGGGCCGTTGTCTGTGGTGATGTATTGAGGGATGCCAAATGGGCAAATGATGTTCCTCTATATGAATCGCTCTATGTGCATTTGAGTTGTAGTTGTCATGGGCTCTGCTTCCACCCATTTAGTGAAGTAGTCAGTTGCCATGATCATCATGTCTCTGCCCCCAGTAGCAAGCGACATTGGCCCTACCAAGTCGATTGTCCACTTCATGAATAACCAATGGCTCGTCTATGGGTGTAGTTTGCTAGCAAGCAGTGTTGGTACCCGCTTGTAGCGTTGGCAACAGTCACACTTTTGTACTAACTCCTTAGCGTCTTAATGCATAATAGGCCAATAGTAGCCTGCGTTAAGAGCCTTCTATGCTAAGGATTGGCCTCCAGAATGATTTCCATAAACGCCTTCATGGATTGAGCTTAGAAATTTTAAGTCATCAGAAGGTGCTAGGCAGTGGAGATATGGTCCAGTGTAGGATATTTAGACGAGAATGCCATTCGACATGTAGTAGCGTGCTACCTTTGTTTGGAGCTTTCTATACCCTAATCTTTCCATGGAGAGTATGCCATTGACCAGGTAGTCTATAATGGAATCTTGCCAGTTTGGAGTTACACGAACCTATGACACCTCGGTTGCAGGCTCCATCTTTATGCTTGGCTTGTCTAAGTACTCCACTAGAATAGAGCGTTTGAGTTGGTGGTTGGGGGCGAAGCTTAGGTAAGTTACCGTGTCTGTGTAGGCGTTGTTTGCTTGCAGAACTTAAGTGAATGTGTAAGTTTGAAACGCCTCAAGTTGCTTTCATACCTTCTCTAGGTATTGCGTCATCTTCAAATGCTTTTTCATGCATACCATAATAGTCTGGCTAATGATTAGCTGGGAATCAAAATGAATTGCAAGCTTTTTTACTGCCAAGTCTTTTACCATTCGAACGCCTGCTAGTAAGGCCTCGTACTCTGCTTTGTTGTTAAATGCTTTGAAGCCTAAAGTGATCGCTTACTCATGCATCCAACCGTTTGGGGTGACAAGGACCATGCCTTTTCTTGAGCCATTGTAGTTGGATGCGCCATCGACATGCAAATGCTAGAAGTCTCTATTGGGCCGCTTTGTTGCGTCGCCTAGGCTAGATATGAATTCTGTTATGAATTCCACCAAGGCTTAGGCCTTTATCATTGTGTGGGGTCAGAAAACTAAGTTGTATTGGCTAAGTTACAATGCCTATATCATTATTTGTTGAGAAACATCTGGACCATGTAGGATTGGTCGTAGAGGATACCGAGTCATGACGATGACTGTATGAGCTTGAAAATATGGTCTGAGCTTCCAAGCCGTAACAACTAGCACAAAAATTAATTTCTTGATCTTTGGATATCTAGTTTCAATGTCGAGAAGAGCTTTAAAAGTGCAGAATACCAGCAGTTGGGCCCTCAACTCTTATCGTATGAGGGTAGAGCTCACTGTTACTTCTGAGACTGCCAAGTAGATGTATAAGTCCTCCACTGCTTCTGGCTTGGATAGTAAGTGAGGTGATGTGAGATACTTCTTTAGGTCTTGGAAAGCTCTTTCGTACTCATCATCACATTTGCCTTGTTGTGCCATCTTGATAGCTTTGAAAAAAGACTTGCATCGATCGGTAGACCGTGAAAAAAAATGGTTGAGGGCAACTGCTTATCCGGTCAAGCTTTGAATCTTCTTCAAGGTAGTTGGAGATTTCCTCTCTAGGATTGCTCGGATTTGCTTGGGATGTGCTTCGATTCCTTGTTGGGTTACTAGGTACCCTAAGAATCTGCCTGAAGATACTCCAAATGTGCATTTGGTAGGATTAAGCTTCATCTTGTACTTTCTCAAGGCCAAGAGCCCCACTCACCCACGATGAACTGGTGTGGGGGGGGGGAAGATTTGGCCGAAGAATCTTCGATGCCAAAGTTGGAATAGGAGAGAGAAAATGTTTAGGGAATTTTAGGGAGAGAATGAACTAGC